AAGCCAATCTCTCCCCAAACCATTCGCAATTATTACCGGTCCCTTTTGAACAAGAATATTGATGAAGTTAGGAAGGAGGAGTATGGTGGGTAAATTCAAGCTGGACATGTGAAGAAATACTCATCAGTTGCTCACTGACTTTTCGACTGTTAAGTTAATGCCAATTTCTTTTAGTTTGCTGATATGCTGCCACAGGAAGCGTTCGGTTTCTTCTATCCCATACTGATTTACTGGTTCAAAAGAAAGTTTGTCAGCTACGTAAGTTACTCTTTGACTTAGAATTTCTCTATCATAAGCTTTATTCTTATCTCTTGAACACTGATATTGAACAACAAATTTTAGGTGTCTTCAGCGTTAGCTTGGTCAGCATTAGGAAAACACAGCCGTGAAGAACAGATCAACATTGGAAGCGATGACCTTCGTGCAATAAGCAAATTTCTTGGAACAAAACACTACTTCACTGGATTCAAACCGACACGTGTATGTTTGCGAAATTCTACGCAAATCTTTCCGATGACAATGAAGCAGTTCTAGATTGACGCCACCTTATTCGCTGTTCTGGCACAAATTGTATACGCACCATACGAAAACGATCACCTTGATGTAATCAAGAATGAGTGCCCTAATCTATTGGAATATGTGGAACGTATCAAGAACAGGTGATCTTTTCTTTGATTAGATATCGTTCGAGCAATGTTGGATTGTGGGAGATAACCGTTTCTGTTTAAACTTGGTCCGCTACCATGGGTTTTATCTACAATCCCCAAACAAACCTTCTGCCAGCTTTTTCTGTCTTTCTTCACGTCCTTCTAACTTGAGGTGAAGGCAAAACGTTACCATGTCACCATTTATAGGAGGAAAAACGAAGGGCGAGGTTGCGAGAGAGGGAGGGGGAGGGGGAGCCACCGCTCAACTTGCTCTTGACTCTTCTGAACATGATAAACAGACATAAAATACTCAAGAAACTAGAAATGAGCCAACCAATGCCGGCCCGATGAAAGTTGCTTAGAGCAATAAATTATCTAGGTCTTTTCCTCGCGCCATGTCATATCGATATTCAACGAAGCTTCCTCCACGAAATGCAATAAAATCAAGGGATTAATTCACAATAATTTAGTACAACAGTGTTACTGAGC